TTGTCAAAAGCTTTCAAAAAAATCAAAGCATACTATATCAACTGGATCCCTTTACCCTTGGAGTCTTCATTAGCACCTGAATATACCTTGTTAGGTGCCTTAACTTTTGTGTAGCTTTATTATTAGTTTATGAACTTTCTCCCCACATTATGATTACACTTTGATTACACATTATGATTACACTTACACTTTGGCAAGACTGGGGTTTCTAGATTTCCCATAAAGTTGCAATATCAAGATGGGGTATAAATTGTCAGCATATAAGTAGAAACAGTGGTACGGAGAAGCAAAGGAGCTGTTTCAAGCTTACAAAGCAAGTCACTGGAAGACCTGAGAACAGAACCAAGGAATTCTTACATTTAGGTTGCCCGCACTAACCTCTAACTCCGACTCCCAAGAGCAAAGGGGTAAAAACCAGGAGCCAGGACTCCCCTGTTCTAACCACTAGATAACTTCCGGTTGCACAATCACTCACCTATGCATAAAAAAGGTCCACATCAGACTGGAGCAAGTTCATGCAGACTGTGCCTTTGACTTGGATCCCCACTGCTTGCGTGTTGCCATTGCCCATTTTCTCGCTCCATTTTCTGCGGCTAACCCTACATTTCAGAAAGGGCCCTTTGTTTTCCAATTTCCACTTCATCTCCCTCGACTCCGGGTTTTTACATTCTACTGCTCCATCAGTCCCCAACAGGCTACCGAGCCACATTTTTCTCTACTGTTTGCACGAAGCAAATCTACAAGGAGGCAGGCCCTGCAAGGCAGGACAGCATTCGCCATCCAATATTAATGAGGGGCCCCCTCCGGAGGTAGTGGAGAAAGTCAATGAGGATGGCACGCAGCCAAATTCCACACGCTCACCAGAACAATGGTGAAGAACAAGGAACGCAGTGCGTTATAACCCACTTCACCAGGGCCCTCTGCAACTTCCTCCCCATCAGCTCCACTACTGTTCAGCTGGCAGAACAAGCACTGCACAGCTTTTTTCGCAGGGTAGATCAATAGTTGGACCATAACCCAAGCCATGGCTCTGCCAGGACACTGCTGCAGAGACCTGGAGGAAGAAAGGGCTGCAACTGCTTCAGCTCTGACAGTCAGCAAGGAGGAGGCAAGGGAGGTGAACCTGGGCACAGAAGCAGCACGGTCTCCAAGACCCTCGAGACAGGCATGCTCAACGGCTCTGTGTCACGGTGATGGGCTCTTCAGCAAAGGAGGCTGCTCAGGCTGCAGCCTGCCACTGCCACTTCTGCAGCCAGGGGGACCAGGACAGAGCAAGGCAAGACACTTGCATCTCTCTTGGGGCCAAGCTGGCTCCTTATGGAGCCCTCCCTCAGCTGCCACTTGAACACTTAGGCCACACAACACAGGCCCAACAGAACAAAGAAAAGCAAGGGCACAAAACCCATGTTCCCAAGCTGCAGCCACACACATCCCCACTGGCTGTGCAAGCCCTCCCCGGGTCTTGTCAGCCCACTCTGCTCTTTCTGAGGTGGCTGTTGAGGATTAACAAGAATATCTGGAGAGACAGCATTGTTCCATAAACCAGAAGTCCACAATAAACCGCCTTTACTGCAGTCTCTGGCCCCATGCACAAAGTCAGGGTCAGCCGGGCCAGGGTCAGGGGAATGCATCATTCCTGGCTGCATAGCCTCAGAGCACAAGCAGTCTGGCACATCCTCCTCTCCCCCCTCCTCGTCATTCCCCAAAGTGCCCCTCCACCTCAAAGTCTTTATACATTAAAACTCTCATGGGAGTAACACAGCAGAGGAGGAGGAAGAGACAAATTTACAGAGGCTTACACGGTGCTCTGGGCAATGCATCCAACGTGAGCACACAATGTTCTGTGACCATGACAAAAACAACAGGAAAAACCTGCTCTTTCAATCCTGCCAAGCTGGGATTTCAACAGCAAGTGGCAATGCATCAACTGGCTGCAAAAAACTCCTGATTCAGGGGCTGATCCCCAGCCCCCCAACCCAGGCCTTTCAATTTTTTCTATATTATTCTGAATCACCCACAATATGCCCAATGCTACACCGGATACAGCTCCTGCCTGAGAACTCAACTGCAAATCATCCGGGGGGGCAGCAAGCTCCAAGGGGATTTGTGGTTTGGTTTTCAATAAGTCTTCAACTGTAGGGTGACCCTGCAGTGAGGATGGTCTTGGGCACAGGTCAAGAGCTCATGAGAAAGATCTGAGGAGAGATGTGAATGAAGAAAGAGAGGTGGCTTAGCACAGTGGGAGAGAGCCACCCTCCCCAAGCAGGGGACATCCTGGAAGAAGGCAAAGCTGGGAGAACACAGTGAAGACGGCCTCCTTCGCAGAGGATAACCGGAGAATATGGTCAGGAAACAACTCATGCATGCCGTCCTCACCCAAGTCATGCTGTTTGAGCTGTATGCAGTGTCTGAGGGGCTGTAAGGGCAAGATGGGAGCCCTAGAGGGAAGTGGGGGTGATGGGCTCTGACTGATGGGAAAGAAAAAGCATTTAAGCAGTGAGGAGCATCAGATGGACAGAAGGAGAGAGATGCATTATCAGGGAGGAGAGAACAGGGAAGGTGGTTGCAGTAATCAAAGCAGGATACAACCTGGGCACAAACTAGCATTTTAGGAGAGCAGGTCAAGTAGATGCGAGAGTCATCAGCAAAGAGGTGAAAACTGAAGCTGTACAAACAGATAAAGTCACTAGGAATAACATGAAGAGAAGAAAGCAAAGAAAAGGGAACCGGGAGACCTGGGCACAGAGCTGAATGGGGGGATGAGGAAGAGATACAAGGGTGGAGCTTTTAGTGAGGACAGTCAAACAAACTTGCATTGTGGCAGTAAAGTGGTGCCACAGAAGCCCCCAAGAAAACTGCAGGAGCCACTGTATCAATGGAAAGTTCTGCTCAGTGGGAATGTACGGATGTAAAAACACTCTTCTTCACTCCTGTACCAAACCCTCTGGCACTGCCCTACCGACTCCACGTGGCATATATGCCTACACTTAACACTGTGGTGCCTTGGAGGCTTGTGCTGGGATAAATCAATGAACTGGGATCACGTTCACAATTCAGGAACCCACATATATTCCAAACCCATTTAATCAAAGCAGAGTCATTTGCCAGCCACTTTACTGATAACACTTTGCTAATAATTTCTAAAAAATTAAGTCCACCTTGGGACACTGATTTCTATGATTTACCATCAGAGTAACGGTAAGTTGGCACAGCAGTGTAAGACAAGAAAATCCAGGCTTTCTTGTTACAAGTTTGTACCATCTAGGTAGTATATAAGTTGGAGTGGAGGATTTTCATGGTACATGTCAGCTTGTGGGGAACCCAAGGGGGTGACGTAGGGTTGCCTGGATCTCTTAACGTGTATGCATCTACCCAAGAAGTCACCTACGTGTATAATACATTCCTCTTCCCTCATTTCTCATGCTTGGGGTGGGAGGGAGGAGGATTTCCTCATTTTTCCTTTACCTATTGACATTTTACACTTGTAAACCCTGCCATCAGAACTCACTTACGAACCTCAGTAGGAGGTGAGTAAACTCCATCCAGATTGCACAGATGGGGAAACTCAAGCGGAGAGAACGGTTAAGGTAGCTACTTGCCTACAGACACTAAGTGAGTCAGTGGAAGAGATGGGAATAGATCCCAGGAATCATGACTTCCATTCCCCTGCTCCACCCACTAGTCTGGACAACCTACCAGATGGTTCCCATCAATGGACATATGGACTAAATATTGCTAAGTTAGTGTAGTAGATTTGCTATTTAATTAAAGTCCCGTCTTCCATCTCCATAAGATGCACAAGGGAAACTCGCCAGAATCCCATCTGGACCCACTCAGAAATGTCTTTGCAAAGCAAACACAACTCTGGGCAAGCACAAGCAATGCCCCCAAACCTGTCAACCTGTTCTGAGAACGCAGCCCCCAGCAGCGCTGAGAAACCAGCTGCCATTCAGCAGTCTTTGAAAAGGCTCGTGTCAACCAGAGACCAGATGTCTGGCTGTCCAGTGCCTGTATCTATTAACAATCATGGAGGTTAGCAACCACTGTTACGTGAAAGCTGTCCCGGCAGCCTTTGCTAGGCATCACTGCCCCTCTGAGCCTGGAGAGAAGCACCAAAAGGAGTCATGAGAAACAGACAGCACTCTGTCTGTGATTCAGCTTCTCTTGGCATGAGCTCCACGATCCTACAGAGAACCGACCACGCTGTTGGGGAGAACTGAGAGAATGGCGCCATATGGCAATCATTGTCGTCTTATTGGCTAAGCACTACCGAGCTGGCTTGAGACAGTTCCCAAGAGGATGGACATGAAGCAGAAGAGGCAGCAAGCAAAACATTTTATCGGGGAAGCAGCAGAAAAACCCATGCAACCTGCTGCAATTTGCTCCACATGTTGCTCTCAGCAAATACCTTCCCACCGCCCAGCATCTTTCCATCCTAGACCAAGAGGCTCAGAATCTACTGCTTCCTTTCTGTCAGTCATTGCCCAACATACAAATGAGGGGATTATGTGACTTTTCAACTCCCCCTCCCAGTGCACTCACCCCCTCGCCCCTGTGCAGCTGAACACCATTTATTGTCAGGCCCACAAGAAAAGCTTCATGCAGGCATTTGCGCTTCTCCACGTAACAGCCATTATGCAGGGGCAGTCCATGGGACCTAAACCCCCTTCCAAGCAATGGATTAGTGCGCTTGTACCAACTGAAAGAAAAACCATTAAAACCCATTCACACACACAAACACGCACACCAATGTCCCAAGAGGCAGGAACAGCCCAAACTAACAAATTAGTAAGTAAAAAAGCAATCTCTTCTGCTGTCTAGATGCAGGCAACAAATACAAGAGGTACCAGCAACTTTCCCCTTTGAAAGGACTATGGTGTTGGCATTGATTAGTAGATACAGCCTCCTGCAGAAATACAGCTCAAAACCTTTCAGTATGCAGCACAGACCCCAGCATTCCTTGACGGTGCCTCCTTCTGGAGACACGCAACCGCACGTACCTTTCATCCCAAACTTGGACCGTCGGCCATACTTGTTGATCATAATAAAGAGGACCACCAAGAGGACACAAGCAAAGGCTGCAAGCCCGACTGCTATGGAGACCTGCAAGGGACAAAGCAGAGAGTCAGGCCCATGGAACGTGTGGTGTCAAAACCAGTTGAAATGTGGAAAATAGAAATCCCCCAGCTCGGGTCCCCCTTCTGTACGTTTACACTGCCGACGCAACGTGGGCGCTTGCAGTGAAGACAAGCACGCTGGAACGTAAATGGCTTCAGTGCAACTTTGAAACGGCATCAGCCAAAATTGTCCTCCCGTATCACATCTGCCGTGCGTCTCATGAAGTCCACCTGCGCGGAAAAAGGCCTCTGCTCCTTAGTACTGTTTAGTGCTCTGCTTTTTCCTTCGCCACACACAAGTCACAACCCTCTACTTGTGACATCTTAACAAGCTTGGGATGCCACAATCGCAAGGGGATACTGACCTGAGATGAAGTACAAGCGATAGGAACAGAGGAATTCTTTAGAAATAGCAATCCTGTTTCCATCCAAACACCCCTCAGAAGAAAGAATGAGGGAAGAGAAAACACACGAAAGAGAAGAGAGGAAAGGAGGGAGAACCGTTTCCAGGTGTTCTGTTTTCTTGAAGACCCTAGCAGCTCCTTGGTTATTTATTAGTAGTCATGGTATCAGCAGTAGGAATAAGTCTTTATGTTACAACAGTGCCCAAAGACCTTATACAGAAATATATATAAGGTCAAATACAGAAAAGAAAATCTCCCTGGCTTAAAAAAGTCCAATTAATTCATCCAAAGCTCCAACAAATATTTATTTCTGCACATATTCACAAATGACACTTTCATTGTACCACTCGAAACAAACAACTTGTAGGACTCCCTTTCACTTTCATTTGCCCAGTGGTTCAACTGGTCCAGGCCCTAGCCTACCTCTTACACACACCCTTACAAAGAAACATGCCATTTAACACAAAGATATTCACCTTTTCATAGCTCAGTGTTGTTTTCCTTTTTTTTTCCAGCCTTGAATACACTTGCAATTTTGATTTTTAAATGTTATATTGTTTTACCAAATGTTACCTTTTACCACGGGAATTCCCCTGTGTATTTTCCACATTTCTCTTTCTCACTCTTATTAAACAATCAAATCCCAGCATCAGCAGCTCTTTCCAGTCTGCTGAGAATTAGAGCTGGGTGAAATTTCAGACCAAACTGGAATTTGTAAATATTGGCTGGTGTTTAAGATTCCAAAATTCTCCCCAAATTAAGGCAGCTCTATGAAATGCTATTCTTTTCCCACAATATTGCACACAGCATTTTTTTCTATATCTGGAGTCTGTGAAATATGACATTTTGAGGCTTTGCAAACCCTGCCTTGTTTGGGTTTTTTTTTGGAGGGAGGGTATATTTTTGGGGGGTGGTTAGCTAATTTCATCAAGCCCTAGTGAGATATCACTGAATGGAGCAAGAGAGATGGTGAAAATGAAACATGCTGAACCCGAGCCCCAAGCGCAGGATGAACTTAAATGTTCTACTACGGTATGAACCAAATCAATTATCTGGAGTTTTTTCATTATTTTCCCCCACTGTTCTCAGAGGATTTCTGCTGGAAACCGCTAATGGGAGACCTGATTTCAATGCATTTGCAGCCATATTTTTTACAATCAGGAGGTGCATATGGCTCACACCAATATCCCTGCCTATCCAACCCTATCTACCCTACACCTTGTGATGTCTGACTAGTCAGGATTATCAAGGGAGAAATTTGACTTACAAATATCTCACTGTAGTAGCAATGTCTGTGAAAACAGCCAACATCGAGGGAGCGAGAAATCAGTAGCAAAGGATTCCCCTACAGAAAAGCAGATAATGCTTACCCCAAAAGTATCCTCCTCTGGTTTGTGGGTCACAGTGATAGGCGGGGTGGGGCTCACTTCATAGGTACCAACTGGAACCAAAAGAGGAAAGAAAAATGTTCAGTTTGCATCTCTGGAACGTGATGGGCACCAGAGCCTCCCAGCCTCGTGTGCTCTACACACAGCAAGAACGGCTTCGACTAGGGGTTGAAGTCACCCTCCTATTTCAAAGGTCCTGAATTCAAGTCTCACGGGGACTATAATTCTGCCTGCAGATGAGCTAACAGATCTCTCCTAAACTCCTACATAACCCTGCATCGAACACACAGCCCCCAGTTACTAATCAAACAGTGCCACTTCAGCAGAGCTAATGAGAAAAATCCCAAACGTTGAGAGATGAGGATCCTTGTTCCACCCACGTGCCTCCCAGCACTCAGGACAAGCTAACAACTCAAGTACCCCTGAAATACAAATAGCTGCAAGACCAGATCCTGCAAAATTAAAAACAAATAAACAATAACTTTGAAGGGTCCTTTCTGAAATTAAAGGAATTTAAAATGCTGACACCAAAAAACCCAGGAGACTGAAGTCTCCCAAGAACAAAACAGGTACAGCCCAGGCCAAAGGAGTTCAGCCTACACACACACACACACACACCCCTGACCTGAAGTCAAATAACAAGGACCAAATCACTGCTGTACTCTCTGCTCAGACTGCAAGCAAGGTGCTGAAATCAGTGCTCAAGGCACTGCGAGTACCTTCTCTGTTAGGAACACGTCTGAGACCCATCACTTCATATGTTATTCAACAGCCGCAAATATGGGGCTCCACCAAGGCTGCTTTTCCTTTTCTCTTTCAGCCAATGCCACACCTCCTCCAATGTCCTGCAGCACCCCAAACTCCAACTGGATCAATGATGGCTTAAAGACACACTGATCAAGCACCTTCCTGGCCTGTTAGCAAGTCACTATGGTGCTAGCACACCTACCTCCCCTCCATTGGTGCAGACCCTTCTTCAGACCCTGCCCTGGTCGTGTACAGACACACACCAGCTGTACGAATCATGCAGCACACAAGAGCCTTCCCCCATGCACTTGAGATCCCATACAGAAGGCTGCATCTTGCAGAGACCCTAGCTAGCTCTTACTAGGGCATCTGGGATAACCCAGCCTACAAGGCTGATGTTATCCCTGCTACGTCATCTCCAAGTTCCTTGGAATTCAGGAGGAAACGCAAGCGACAAAGCAAAGGACAGGAAGGCACTTACTTGAGACAAAGTTATCCGTACTTTCTGTGAAAAGGACAAAGAGAGAAGCAACACAATTAACAGCATGATAGGGGGAGAGCAAATCTCCCACGCAAAACACTTCTCAGGCATGTTCCCTCCTCACAAGCCCATGTGTATGCCTGAGTGCAAGCCAGCCACTAGCTAACACCTTCTTGGTGACTTCACAGGGAAGAGCCTGGTAGGAAGAACAATCAATCAGTGATTTTTCTGAAGCACCAAGGAGTCCGATCCACAATACAGTGCTGGAGAGGGTGGGGGGAGAATTCAGGGGGAGGTGGAGAGAGAATAAAATACCCCACAACACGTCCTGTTTGCAAGTGCTGCTCAAAGAGCCTCCGAATTCAGACAAATGTGTGTATTTTTCAGGTTGAGGTAAACCAAAAATGCTCAGGCTTTTCCAATAAAATGAACAAAAAAATCATTTCAGGTGTTTAGGATTTTTTATGGAAACTGAAGGGAAATTTGTAATAAACTAAGCGGGGGGTAAAGTTAGCAAGGGGCACTGCAGCTAAGGATGAATGTGCACTGGCACAGCTGTGAAGGGGCCTTAGCCTGCAATAGTGGATGGGACGGGAGGAAAGGGCTTCGACTCAGGCGCATTGACAGAGCAGAGAAGCAAGTCCCGTGACTACTGCGAACAGGAGATGGACAGGATAGTTAAGGAGAGGGTTGGACTGGCACAGCCATGATAGAGCAAGGGCTGGGAAAAATGGGATCAAGGCAGACATGTCATGGGAAGGTGTGGGGCAGGGTTGTCCTCTACCTGAATCATGCCTGATGCCAGCCAGCCATGTCAGTCATCCACATCAGCAACTCGACTCGTTCAGTGTATTCAATAAAGCTCCTTCAACTCAACAGCCTGCCAGGACCGTGGATGATAAGGTCTAAAGCTCCCAGCGACACTCAGTTTACATAGTGTGAGAACAATGTCAGCTTTCAATTTACTCGCCAGTGCACAAAACCAAACCTGATATTAACTGAGTTTACACAGCTTTGCTGGTGAAAGATTCCTGGAACGATGCTGCCGTGCTCCCATTCAAACAGAGCCGAGTTCTTGAAGGGAAGCACAACACACACCCAGGTTGCAGCCATTGCTGGGAGAGTGACTGAGTGCCTGGGTTGCTATCCAAACTGGGGGGGGGGGGGGCCCC